ACTACGTCCAATACTTCTACTACGACTATTACTACTACTACTACTACTCCTACTACTACTACTACTACTACTACTGCTACTACGCTACTGCACATACAACAACAACTGTTACTATTACTACGACTACTACTAATACGACGACTACTACTACTACTACGACTACTACTACTGACACGACTACATACCACGACTACTGCTACTGCAACTACAACAACAATTACTTACTAATACGATTACTACTATCACTACTATTACTACTACTACTACTACTACTACTACTACTACTACGACTACTACTACTACTACGACTACTACGACTACTACGACTATTACTACTACAACAACAACTACTACTACTACTACGACTACTACTACTACTACGGCTACTACTGCTAAGACTACTACTACTACTACTACTACTACTACGAACACTACTACCAGTACTAGTACTAGTACTAGTACTAGTTCTAGTACTACTAGTACTAGTACAGTACTAGTACTACTATACTACTACTACTACTACTACTACTACTACTACTACTACTACTACTACTACTACTACTACTACTACGATTACGACCACGACCACGCCTACCGCTGCGACTGCCGCTGCTCCTACGACAACTACGACTATACTACTACTAGTACTACCACTACTCCTACTACTAGTACTACTCCTCCTCCTACTACTACTACTACTACTACTACTACTACTACTACTACTACGACTACGACTACGACTACGACTACGACTACTACTACTACTACTACTACTACTACTACTACTACTACTACTACTACTACTACTACTACTACTACTAACTACTACTACTACTACTACTACTACTACTACTACTACTACTAACTACTACTACTACTACTACTACTACTACTACTACTACTACTACTACTACTACTACTACTACTACTATACTACTACTACTACACTACTACTACTACTACGACTACTACTACTACGACTACTACTACTACTACTACTACTACTACTACTACTACTACTACTACTACTACTACTACTACTACGACTACTACTACTACTACTACTACTACTATTACTACTACTACTACTACTACTACTACTACGACTACTACTACTACTACTACTACTACTACTACTACTACTACTACTACTACTACTACGACTACTACTACGACTGCTACTTCTACTAATAGTACTGCTGGTTACATTGAATGAATGGTAAGGGTAAAGGTTCGGTTTCGGGTTCGGCTTCGGGAAGGCGCCCGCAATAGGAAAAACAATTTCATATGCGATATCTACTATGTAAATACAATAAGCACCCCTCTGGAAAGTGAAGCTCCTCTGGAATCGGAGGGGAAACAACAATTTCCAATATTGACTTGTAATACGAATCCCTCTGGAAAGTGGAGGTCCTCGGGAACCGGCAGGAAAAAAAACTACGTTTTTTTTATAGAATTGTAATAAGGGCCCCTCTGGAAATTAAGCATTTTTTCGAAGTTGGCGGAAAAACCAATTGTTCATATAGAATGTTAAAAGGAATCCCTCTGGAAAGTGGAGCTCCTCGGATATCGGCAGAAACTGCATAACATATAGAACTATTATAAAATCCCCCTGGAAAGTGGAGCTCCTCTGGAATCGGCAGACACAGGCAATCTTGCATGTAGAATTGTAATAAAGATTCCTCTGCAAAAAGGATCTTCTCGGGGCTCGGTAGCAACAACAATTTGTCGTATTAAGTCGCAGTAGGGATTCCTGTGGAAGGGGTAGCTCCTCGGGATTCGGCCCCGCAAAACATCTGTACTATAGAATTGAAATTCGCCGGCCCAACGGGCCAGGGCGTGCTAAGATCTCCGGTACCTGGTTAATAGTATTTCTAGTTCGCGCGCGCGGGGCGGCCCCTGGGGATCCCCGGGCGAAAAGTGAGGCCGGGGTGTTCTGGGAGTCCCCTCGGCCGCGCAGGCCGTATCAAGATGGTATTTGAGATAGTCGAAATATCGTCCGACCTGTTGGCACTGTTGGTGTTGCGTGTGTATATATATGTATATATATATACGTATATATATATACATATACATATACGCGTACACACATACGCATACGATACATCTCCGACTACAACTATATATCCGTACACATATACAGAAACATATGCATGAAGACGCACGCGTGTACGTAGTAGTACGTCCATCAATGGTGCCCAAAAAAAACATTCATATATACATACGCACATACAAACATACATAGACGTGAACAGGTGCGAACGCAGCTTAGAAGCACCACTTGCGTTGATCTGTTGTGGATTATGCTGGCGTCCGTCTGCGCGCGCAAGAATCGCGACTGGCCTTTTCACGGATGGCGGCGCGCATGCCCGCCCTCCCTACACGCACGTGGAATGCCGTCGCTTTAAGCGCACGGGTAATGCTCACTGGGTTTCTTGTGAACCTTGCTGGCAACTGCCGCCGGGTGCCCTAGGTGATCAGCGTCGCCAGCAGACAACATTTAGTTGTGCTTGGCAACGAAGTACAGGACGAAGAAGCGGTGGCGGCTGGGCGACATCTCGTTGAAAATCCGCGAGTAGCCGCGAAACCACGAGAAACGCTGCTCGGCCACCTGGGTGATAAGTCCGCCGATGCGCAGCTTCAAGCGATGTATTGTCGGATTACATGCGCAGGTGGGCACGTGCTTCTGGGCGCGCAGCCTGTCGACGACCCAGTACTTGATCTGATTGAACTGGTCGTCCAGCAGCGCCGAAGGCATCACCGAGCATGCCCTGTCGTATATGAAGCAGTTGACCCTCGGACATTGCGGGGGAACCCTGAGGATGGTGGACTCGACCACGTCGTTGCCCTCTGGCGCGGACTGCTCGGTCACAGCCACCACGCGGCCACTCGTGGTCAGAAGCATAAACCGCCCGTTGTTGTGGTGTAGAGACTTCGGGGCTTTGCGCTTCGCGCCAGCCTTGGTCGCCGCGGGCTTCTTAATCACGGCGGTCTTCTTCGCGACAGGCTTGGGCTTGGAGCGAGTCTTCGCGGCAGCGGGCTTCCTCGTCAAGGCCTTCCCAGCGAACTTGCGAGCAGCCGAAGGCCTCTTCAGCACTTTCCCTCCGGGCAGGCCACGGCCGCCGCTGCAGCGCACCAACACCTTCTCGTGGCCGTCGCCCACTAGCTCAGTGACGCAAGCTGAGTTGGCGGGCGGATAGACGCGCTTGTGGAGGTGGTCGTCGTATGTCCTCAGAGCGCTCTCGCTGATATCCTCCTCCACGTAGATATCAAGATGCTTGCCGAGCGGTTCCAACTCCTGCGCGGCCAGCACATACAGAATGGCATGGCTGTGACGTTTACGCATGTCGAAAGGGAACTTCTTCCCCTGCCAACCGCCGCCGTCGCCGTCGTCAAAGAAATCCTTCTGCACCCAGTCTGCGCCCCTGGCCGAGGCGAAGTTCCTGAACAACATTGCCTCGTAGTACCGCGCGTAACTCAAGGTGAGGCCGCGCTTGCTCGAGATGAAGACAACTCCGGCGCACCCCAGGTCGGCGAGAGTAGCAGTGTTCATCTTGCGCCCCCCGACCCACACGAAGTTGGGGCCGTATGTCAATCGATATTTCTTGCTATTACACTGCCAGGGCGTGACCGTCACTGTCGTCACGGCGCGGAGGTCATGGACGATGGCCTCATGAGTCGCATCGCTCTTCTTGCAGAGCCTGCACCCGCATACGCAGAATTCCAAGTGCGTCTCGAACTCGTCGGCGACGTCTTGCCGCAGACCCTTGCCCTTGGTGCAGGGCGCGCCGCAGCTGCCTGAGCCGTCGCTAGCCGATCCGCCCGCTTTCAGTTCAAGGAGCACTTGTTCCTGTGTGTTTGGCGGGAGCTCCACGGCCGAAAGCTTGAACTGAGCAAGAAACCTTGAGTCTGCAGACGCGGACCAGCACCGACGCACGGTCGAAATCTTGGTCTCGTAAGTTTTCTCCCCCACGAGCACATGGCAGACATCGCCCTGGCGCAGGGTCGCGGCGACGCATTGCGGGTGGCCGCCATTCTCGACGCGGATCAAATATCTGCCCTCTCCAGTCGGGAACTCCAACAAGGGCGCCAGGGATTGCTTCGTGAGTTTGCTGCAATTGCTGTACGTCCGCGCCTGGCACTCTGCAGCATCCTTGTTCGCCCTGTTGCGCTTGTTCGCCATGGGCGCCGCCGCGGCGACGTTGTCTGTCAGCCTGGCCATCATGGGGATGATGCAGTTGCCAGCGGCCAGCAGCACCTGTGGAATAGCGGCGCCGTCGCGCGCCGCGGTCTCCGCGTCGCCGACGAGCATGCCCAGAAAGCGCGCGTGGGTCTTCAAGGCAACCTCTACGGAATAGTCCGTGGCCTCCAAGATCGCCTTCTCCGAGTCGGCCTCGAAGGCTGCCCGATCTCCGACCCGCCCAGGATCAACCATGACGCCGTCGAAATGCAAACTCAAATGCTGCACGGATTGTGTTTTGATAAAGTGGACCCAGGCAGATAAGACGCAATCTTCAACGTAAGTTCACACGTAGAACCACGTAGTCGCAGCCGGGCTCCGCCGAGAACTATCGTTGACGAAGATCTCGTGCATCTCAGGGCTCAATGAGACAGCAAGCCAGCGAAGATAAATGCCCTCGCGCCCCAACGCCAAGAGGAAGCTATTCTCGGCGAGCGCTTCGGGCGGATTGCCGCCGCAGAAGACAGATACGCACGTGCTTTTAGCATCCTCTGTGGTCATGCCGAGCTCCTCGCATACTGCCGCCGTGTCCGTGGAATTTCTACGGAGACACTCAAACTTGGCTGCCTGGTGCTGGCCCAGCGCAAACTCGACTCGCTCTGCAATCTGCGGGGCCAGCGTGAACGCGCATTTCTTGATGTCCCAATCATCGACGTCTCTCAGCCCGGCCAGACGAGCGGACCAATTCAGGCTCTGGGCACCGAAGCCGACCACGTACCTTCTGGACGGCACATCGAACTTCGTCTGATATGTGGTAGGGACTTGCGTTGTCTCAGGTACACCGCCGCCCTGCCCCGCACCCGCCAAAACTTCGACGCGCTTCGCCACTGCGTCTACAACGGACTCTTGGGCTCGCAGGGACTGCAGCAGGTCGGCGCGTTTCTCAGCATCGCCTGCAGTTTTCTCGCCGATCCTGCCTCGTTTCTTCGGCCTCTCGGCCCCCTCTCCGCCGAGGTATCTGACGACCGTCTCCACGTTGTGGACGCGGGCAGCGCTGCGGACGTATTCGATGAGGTCTTTGCAGCGAATTGTTTCACCAGCGCCGGTCCAACGAGGTCGCGATCTGCTGAGCCGAGATCTGCCATGGTTCCGCTGACCTGTAGTAGTGGCACGTATACTGGATGCCCGCGATGAGCTTTCCTCTCGAAGATCAAGTGGCCGCGCTCAACGAGGCGCGCGAACGCGGCCTTGCGCTCATCATTAGAGCCGCCCACGACATCAGAGCCAAATTTGCACACAAAGTCGCGTTCGGAAATGCTCTCATAGTTGCGATCCAGAGCAGCCCCTGCAATCCGAACTGCAAGCAAACGATCAGCATCTGTCGCGGCCTGGACAGGGTCGAATGCCGCGGCTGCTGCGGCGGCTGCTTTCTCGGGCGACAACCCAGTCGCAGCCTGCGCGCAATCTCTCGTTAATCCGCCGTCGCCGCCCGTGGCGTACTCTTCTATGAGGCCCTCTGCACTTCTCCGCGAGTGCGACTTCATGAAACCCCGCAGCAACTCCCAGAAGGCCGGTAACGCAACCTGGCGCTTGACGAATGCACGCAGGGTTGGACCCTTCACGAAGATCCCCTTGTCGGCGGCATCTGAGATGGCATTGACTTCCGCCTCGGACTTGAATCTGGACAAGATCTTGCACACCTTGGGCGGAGGGGAAAAGGCGAAAGGCACAAATTCGAAACGCAAGGTGGATTTTATTAGCCCCCTCCCCCCCCCCCCCCCTCATGGCCAATAGAATCTTCCTTGAGCGGCAGCCCCAAGAATGCTTCGAGCGATGCTCTGACACATTGCGTCTTTGCAGTGGGAAATCTAACAGCCCTAATTTGCCCGTAGGGGAGGGAATGGGGGGCGGGGCATAGCACCTAACAACCACGAACGAATATCTCCAATATCCCACGAAACATCTCCAGGCCAGCACGGTGTGTTTTCCTGCGGGTAAATCGAATTCAACACACGTAAAGAAATGCTGCTGTGTCGCGACGAGCAGTTTTAGCCACGTCGTTTAATTACAGATACGAAGCCTAACACATGCCTACGCTGCACCACGGCGCGCGCGCGGGCGGCTTCTTCTCCCACTGGCAGATTGTTTAAAAAAAATTCGACGACACCCGGTCAGCAAACGTCTGCATCAACCGCTTGTGCCTGTTGACGAAGGTGTTGTGGTTTGTCTCGATGGACTCTTTCTCCTCCGTCATGTTTTTGAGGTCACTCTTCATTTTGGTGTTCTCTTTCTTGCACCAGGACCCGTACTCAATCAACTCCGCATTCCGCTTTTCCAGGTCCGCGATGAGGGCGTCCTTTTTCTTGTTGGACGACTCCAGCGTGTGATTTTTGCTGTTGGCGGTCTGCAGCTCGCGCATCGTTTTGTTGTGTTTGCGGGTTTGGGCGTCCAACTTCTTTTTGACGTCGTCCAAGCTGCTGTCGATCAAAAACTTGACGACCGGTTTGTTCGCATACTTCTCCTTTGGATGTTGTGTTGTGAAGTTACATTACACTTACTTTCCAACGCGTTTGATGATCAACATCGTTTCGTGAACAACAAAACACAATTACTTTAATAAACTTGATACTTACATTATGTCCTGTTTTGCCTTCTCCCTGTATTTCTGGTTCCGGGTAATCTTCTTGACGTACGACTCCGAGTCGTACTCCGGAACCCCCATGGTGCCAGTCGGCCGAAGGAGCGAACACAGCGATGCGCTTGAACCGCACCAGCAACATTACTGAATTGTTTTGCGTAGAGGGGTTGCACTCCCTCCTCGCACACAAGGCTCACCCAGGACTCGCCCAATACCTCCCTTCTCCCGTCTCCTCCCTCGCCCTCCTCTTCCCCCCTCTTCCTCCTCCTTTTTCCTCATCAACATTATTATCATCCTCATTTTCCTCCTCCTCCCCTTCCTCCTTTTCTTCCTTCAAGTCTGCTCAACTTGAAAAAACTTGGTTCGGACGCTCAAAACAACTCGCGGGGGCATCAAAAAATGGATGCCCCCTTTGCCTTGCTTACAACATCCACCGTTGTTGTTCAACCTATACTCTTCGTGTACCGCAATAATCACTCCCGTAATTTGCATCTTCGCCCTACTGGCTGCGACGGCATGTTTGAACGTCATCGTTGGGCTTCTTCAGGCAGACCGAAAACTTACGTTTGACGTGTTCTCTTCAACAAAGCAGCTCGCTCGAGCATCGTTCCAGGACGGGCTGTTGCGACGCGGAGATCGACAAGGATCTGGTAATATCTGATGTGGAGTTGGAAAACACGGGCCCCAAACGCAGTTGCGGGTGCAACGACGCACGGAAAACAGCATACGCAACAGAGGGGGCGAGGGCATCCAAAAATGGATGCCCCTTTTGTTTGGTTCCCTTGGTTTGCTCCCCCTCCTTTTTTTCTGAACAACGTGTTTGCGCACTTCGTTTGTTTGGAAATGCTTGCTAGATCCATATCCGTGTAGAGACGAACGCGACAGGGGGCATCCAACATTGGATACCCCTTTGAGTTTCGCTTCCAACATCCATCGCTGCTCTTCAACCTGCACTAATATTGTATCGGGTTGTTTGGTAGCTGTTGGTAAGCTGTCCTGGTACAGTCGTCCTGGAAAGAGCACACGGAGGCACCCGAACAACTGGCCCTTTAGAGTTCCGGGTTGGGCATCGATCGTGAAAATGCAAACGTCATTTTTTAAAAAAAAAACAAACATTTGTAACATACGAATTTTCGCAAATTACATGATACGCCTTGCTTTCCACCACGGATTGAAATCTTTAAGAAAATGGAATTGAGGGCTATATGTTTCATCCATTCCGTCTCTGATGGCAAGCATTCCGCGCCCAAAATTAGCGAAAAATGCACATAACTTACCCCTCTTTTTTCACAACATGTGTCCAAAAAGAAAACCCTCAAGGGGTGCATCCGCCCCGCGATATGGAGGGCTATGGTTTTCATCCGTTACGTTTCTAATGACAAGCATCCCGCGCCCAAATTTAACAAAAAAACGCACATGGCTTCCCCCTTTTGATATTATGAATCAAAAAAAAAAACCCTCAAGGGGTGCGTCCGCTCCACGGAAGCGAAGGCTATGTTTTTCATCCGTTACGTTTCTGATGGCAAGCATGCGCGCCCAACCTTAACGAAAAATGCACCTAGCTTTCCCCTTTTGACAACATGAATCCGAAAAAGGAACCCCTCAAGGGGTACGCCCGCCTCACTTCTACCGCCCTAGTACTTCAGCTCCAGTTGTGCAGCCCCGCTACTGCAGCCCAAGCACTACAGGCCCCAGTACTACAGAAGTACTTGGGAGGAAACCAGGAGGAGAAAGGAAAAAAAAGTGGGAAACCTAAGAGAATTGCAAAACATGTTGTGTTTTCAATATTTGGGGTGTTCGCATTGCAAAACAAAACTGAAAACACAGCGTTTTCAGCCCCCGGAGATCCAAAACATTGTGTTTTACAAAGCTTCCAGCTCGAAGGCAACACACTTTTGTAAAACACATTTGTTTGAGCTTCCGGAAAGCCAAAACGCCGTCGTCTCATCCAACTCCTCCTCCTCCTCCTCCTCCTCCTCCTCCTCCTCCTCCTCCTCCTCCTCCTCCTCCCGAGGACGGAAACGAAGCGAAACGTGTTTTCGGGAGGCCGCGGCCCCATGAAGCGATCCCCGCATGCTCGGGGGGAGCATGCGGGATTTGATTCATGGGGGGGAGGCCGCGGCCCCATGAAGCGATTCCCGCATGCTCTGCGGGATTCGCTTCATGGGGGGAGGCCGCGGCCCCATGAAGCGATTCCCGCATGCTCGGGGGGAGCATGCGGGATTCGCTTCATGGGGAGAGGGCCGCTCAATACGAGACAATTCTAAAGGAATCAGAGGTCGGCAGGTTTTTTTTATAAAAATAAAAAAAAACTATTAAACATTTTTACATCGAAAAACCAGGTTTCGCCTGGGACTCCCTCCGAACTTTTTAAATCCACTGGGCGCCGCTGCTGTGAAATTCTGAGGGAGTCTCAAGCGAAACCTGGATTTTCATTATTGTTTCATTGGTTTTTGTTAGAAAACCAGGTTTCGCTTGAGACTCCTTCAGAATTTCACAGCAGCAGCGCCCAGTGGATTTAAAAAGTTTGGAGGGAGTCTCAGGCCAAATTCGATTTATTTATATATATATATATATTAAACAAAAAAACGCCGACCTCTTATTCCTTTAGAATTGCGTCGTATTGAGCGGCCATCTCCCCATGAAGCGAATCCCGCATGCTCCCCCCGAGCATGCGGGAATCGCTTCATGGGGCCGCGGCCTCCCCCCATGAAGCGAATCCCGCATGCTCCCCCCGAGCATGCGGGAATTGCTTCATGCTGAGGCGTTCCCTTCAGAAGCAAACGCTTCCCTCATGCCGACCCAGCAACTTGCGTCGTCGCATCTTCGTTTTCGGCGTTGCTTGTTGTTGAGATGTTGTTCCCTCCGAGGGGACTCCCAGAACACCCCGTTCTCCGAAAAGTACCCCGGCAAGGTCCCGGCAAGTCCCCGGCAAGGTCGGGTCAGAGATGCCGGAGTTCTGTTTCGGAGTCCAAGAGGGCTCCAGATCGGTCCCAGAGGGCCCCGAAAAGCTTTCTAGACGGTCCAAGAGAGGCCCGAGACGGCCAAAGATCGCCCGAAGACGCCCCAGATGGCCCCAAGACAGCCCAAGAGGCCTCCAAGACGCTCCAAGGGCTTTCCAAGAGGCCTTCGAAGAGGGCCCCAAGTTGCCAAAATCGTTGATTTTCATTTGTTTTTTCTATGTTTTTTCCGTTCTGGCCTTTTCGCTTCCGGACGGTCCAAGAGGGCCCAAGAGGCCTTCAAGACTGCTCCAAGACGGCCAACGAGGCTCCCAAGACGGCCCCGGAGCGGCCCAAGAGCGCCCCCCAGACGGCCCAAGTGCTGCCCAAGGCGGACCAAGAGGCCCCAAGACGGGCCCAAGAGGGGCTCAAGAAGGGAACCGAGAACTGAAAAATCGAGCCCTCCGCCCCAGAAGGCGCCCAGGACCCCGAAAGAGGCCCCAAGAGACTCTCCAAGACACCCCCAAGACGCCCCAATAAGCTCCCGTGAGGCCCCAAGAGGACCAACAACGTCAGGCCCCAGGCCCCAAGAGGACCAACAAATACCGCCAAGAGCCCGCCGAAAGCCCCCCAAGAGACCGTCACGAGAGCTCAGGAGGCCCCCTGGAGGCCTCCCGAGTTCTCCAAGAGGCCTAAAAAGAGGCGCCAAGAGGCCCCAAACGGCCCCACCGAGGCTACAAGAGGCCACGAACGCGCAAGCAAACGCCTGCGATGGCACAATACGGGCCGGCGGAATGAGCGAAGCGATTAAATAAAGATGTTGTATATAGAATTGTAAAAAGGACCCCTTGGGAAAGTGGAGGTCCTCGGGATTCGGCACAAAAGCAGTTTGGGATCTAGGATTGTAATAAGGATCCCCCTGGACAGTGGAAATCCTTGGGTGTCGCCGGGATCGGTATTCTCAAAAAATAAACTTGTCAGACCACTCTAGAAAATGGAGCTCCTTAGAGTCCGCCAGAATTGTAATCAGGACTCCTCTGGGCCAAGATCCCGATGGAAAATGGAGACCGGGAGCGCCGGGATAGCGCACCTCTTCGACTTGGCCAGCCAGGGATCCTGGGTCACTGGCGGGCGCGAGCAGGGTGCCCTTCTCGCCTGGTTCGCGCCCCCCCCGGGGGAGGGGGGTAGGCCGCGGCGGGACTGTGCCTCTTCATTCCTCCTTTTTCCTGGCTCTCCTTCGTCTCCTCTCTACCCCCCCCGGGGTTCACAGTGCCGCTGCGGTCCACTCCCCCGCTGGGGCTGGGCTGGAGGAGACCGCGGCGGCGCGCGGAACGCGCTGCCGCGGCCGGCGAACGCGGAACGCCAACGCCGTGCTGGACCGCGGCCAAGTGTTCGGCGCCAGAACCGCAGTGGTTGATCTCTCAGCTACAAAGTTTTGGGGGCCCCCTCGCCCAGGGAAAACCTGGAATAGGGGAGGCTTCATTATCGACGCCTGTGCTCTCTTGCTCATGGCACAGTTGAGCGGCAAGCAACATCCAAGCAGAATCCTCCTCCTTCTCCTCCTCCTCGCTTTCGCGCCGCGCACATTCGTCTTTAGAGTTTGCAAGAGCGGCATGGGTTCGTGTGGTGAAGTCCCAGAGATGGTGTTCTGGCAAGATTCTGGGTTCTCAAGGTGGAACCAACAGTCAGGCTGATTCGCAAGATTGAAATCCCAGACATGGTGTTATGGCGCAGTTTATATTATTGTCAGGACGCAACAATCACGTGCGCTGGAGTCACAAGAATAGTGTGTTGGCACTGCTGGGAACTTCCAGGCGGTTGTCTTCTAGTTGGCCAATTCCCACGGTGAGCAACAATATCGTTGGGACCTATGAAATAGGTGCTTGGAGGGAGGGTTGATTGCAAATTCCTCGGTGCGCCTTGGTTTTGCACTGGGCGTTATGCTCCTGCTCCTCCTCCACCTCCTCCTCCTCCTCACCTCAGCATCATCATCAACGTCGTCATCAGCATCATCATCGTCATCATCGTCAGCATCATCAGCAGCCGCAGCATCAGCATTAGCGTCAGCATCATCACCATCGCCAATCATGAGCCTCCTCCTCCTCCTCCCCATCATCATCATCATCGTCATCATCATCATCAGCAGCATTATCATCATCATCATCAGCTGCAGCATCATCATCATCGTCATCATCAGCATCATCATCATCACCATCGCCACCAGATGCATCACCATCGCCATCACAATCGCCAACACAATCATCATCATCAGCATCAGCATCATCATCACCAACAACAGCATCAACAGCATCAACAGTATCATGATCAACAGCATCAGCATCATGATCATAGCCTGTCCTCTCCTGTCCTCTCCGCTCCTCGCCACGCCTCGCCTCGCCCCTCCTCTGCGTCGTCGTCTTCCTCCTCCTCCACCTCCTCTTCCTCCTGATCCTCATCCCAATCCTCCGCATCCGCCTGACCCTCTGCCTCCGACGCTCCTCCTCCAACGCCTCCTCCTCCTATTTCTCTGCTCGCATGCCATATCCTCTCATCTCCTCGCGTCACATCCTCCTACTGATTCCTGGGTCATGGTTCGGCATGCTGCACTACAGTCAATGCGCCCTGCCTGTAGGAGGAGTTCAGAAACGCTGTCCAACTCTGGGCTACACCTCGGACGCCTCGTGACCAACAGGGGGTCACGGAAGCCATCTGTCCAACCTGTTCATTGGTGGCGGGGTCGCCTCACAGAGGCAGGGCTGCTATGGCCAACCCGCATAACAAGGACGCGCGAGAAGGATGCAAAAACCTTGGAAGGCCATGCCGACACGTTGCGAGCGGGGCGCGGCCAGCGAAAGAGGCCAAGGGTGGGCCAAAGGGGAAGGAGGCCTCACCCTCATCCTCCTCCTTATCCCCCTCCTCCTCCTCCTCCTCCTCCTCCGCCTCCTCCTCCTCCTCCGCCTCCTCCCCCGCCTCCTCCTCTTCCTCCTCCTCCTCCTCCTCCTTCTCGACCTCCCTCTCCTCTCCTCTCCTCTCCTCTCCTCTCCTCTCCTCTCCTCTCGTTCATCATTACTATGCGGGTTGACTGTAAGTTGCGCTTGCAGCGCACAAGCCGAATGGCCTTTGCGCCACTTTTGACGTTCAATGATGATGCCGTCTTGCGCATGGGGGGGACCGAAGCGCAAGTGGAACATCATATAGTTGATGCGTCCACGGTTTTGAAGGGCAAGGTTATGCAGGGCCGACTACTGGTCTCCAGCAAGACTGAGTTGTTGTCGTCCTCTGACTTCTCAGGACCAGAGCGTCTGCGAAACCCAAGGACAAACATATTACAACATGTGTTGCCGGCAATGGTGTCTGTATCGGTGCTGGTCAATGCTGGCAGATGTCAATCCGTCACGAAGTCGAGGGCTCGACTCAAGGCAACGTTTCTCAGGGCTTCGAGGATCCGTAGGATTAGGCGGAACGCTTACCTGAAGAAAGCCACGCAGATCAAGTCCAGGGTATCGTCAAGTAACGTTCTTGCTTTGCGCAGACACGCTGCTGCCTCTGCTTATGAAATCTCGAAGGTCGCTGCCTCACCATGATTTCAGAGGCCACTTTTTGGGCTGAAGGACCCTGGGGAGAAGGTTAGGAGGCAGCTGGTTTCCGATTATGCTGGTGTGTTGGCATAAGCACCCCTAGCACCATGCTCGGAATGAACAACCATGGGGAGATGCCCTCCGCAGGCTCAAACATGGCGTAAGGACAGAGGGACTGTGTCGGCACTCTCTGAATGCAGGATGGGACCCCATGAGAGTGTCTCTTTGCAGCGTCGAACGGTGAGTGGCGTCGTGGAAGACAAAGCCATCCCGACCTCCAGGACCTCGGAGCCCTCCATTGGGTTGAAGCGGCTCAGCATGAAGCGGGGTCCGATCTGAGAGAGGGGGCGACGTGTTTCTCGCTCATACAGCGCATGGTCTCACTGCTGCTGCCATAGGATGTGCTCAGTGGCCCTGGGACCGACGTTTCCCCTTGGGGCGTCTGAGGAGCAACTTTGCCCCTGCTGCAACAGGCCCCGAGACTTTGATGCACCGAGCTTGGTTTTGTGGGGCCAGCTCGGGCCACGAAGTCTACATCAGGAGCGACGAGATCGTTCGCCCCCGAGCGTTGGCGGTGCTGGTGCATCTCCGAGCCTGTGGTTGAGAGGGGTGCCAACCAAGTCTTCCTACACCGGCCTTCTTCAGATTCGGGGGCGGTCACCTGTGCGCTCGATGTCAACGGGGTTCCCCTGAGCAGCTGCTGTCTCCAAGATGCCACCGTTATCATCTGGCAACGGTTCGTTGGGTAGTTGTTCTTTCGACCCCCGCCGCCGCAGCCGTGCTGTTATTATGACTTAGGATGCCGATTCTCCCCTCACAGATTTGTGGGACACCACCGCTGCCATTGTTCGGATGAGAACTGAAGGGGATCTGGCGGACTCTGGTGCGGCTGATCCGATTAAGGCTAGGGGTTCTCTGCAGACTCCAGCGAGGGTCCGATTAGGCACCAAGAGGGACACAGCCGCCCGTGTGAGTGCCCACTCTGTCCTTAAATGCGCGAGTCGTTGCCTCTGCTCCACATGTGATTGTTTCTCCAGAAGAAGCGAAGGCCTCGAAGTCTGTGCGTCGGAACGCTTGTTTGTCGGGGCCCAGAACAGACCCAAAGATGTTGTTGTTTCGGTCCCAGGCCCCGTCGAGGTGTGAGGTCTCGCCCCGTCTTATCATTGTCGTCTCGGGATTTTGGATCGGTGTAATGCGCATTTCTGCCATCTATGCGGGCGTACAGACACCGCTGATGGTCGCCAGATTGCTACTGGATGTCCCGTCCCTTCTAAGAAGGGGCGGAGAAATTTGGCACGAGTCTTGCAAGTTAAATTCCCCAGCCATGCGGGGCCACCTCAGACGGCCCTAGTGTTTTTGGCTGGGAGCATGGGCGAGAGGTGGTTACAGCTAAGGCGTCGAGCTGCTGCGGTTTGCACCCATCTGCTGCCTGATGCCTCACCCTCGTCCCTCCCTCTCTTTTTCCCCCGCACGCTGTGCTGCGCAAATGCTCAGTAGTGTTACTCCTCCTCATCCGTTTCCACCTCCTCCTCCTCCTCCTCCTCCTCCTGCCCCACCTCCTCCTCCATCTCAACCACACCTGTGCAGATGAATTCAGCGGCTTGCCTCTGCAGCATCCCTTTCCACCTCCCCATGCTCCCCCAGTATCCCTCCCTCGCCCCCCCCCCCCGCCCGCGTACCTCTCTCTGGCGCTCGCTTCTCCTCTTCGTAATCCCCATCGCGTTCGCGGCGCTTCCCCTTGCCTCCTGGGAGGCGGCAAGGGCTGCGAGGCAAGTCGCCAGAGCACCCCAAGAAAACTTGCACACTGGAAGAGCAAGATGAGATGTATGTAGCACTCCCCATGGTTATCCGCCATCGTGGTGCAGACAACGAATGGAATGTCGTAAGGCCCATTCGAATTCCCCCCCAAGAAAAAAGGCACAGAGCCCCGAGACACGAACGCTGTTGAGCGCTCCCAGGCGTTCCCAAGTATCCATACGTGACTTTTCCAGAGGCCTCGGAAGCGTGGCTTGGAATTCACACTTCTAACAAGGCCCAACACGATCCCAAGGCCCGAGTGTGAGAGCGTTTGGGGGCCTCTTCGGCTGTCTTGGAGGCCCTGGGAGCCAGTCCAAGAGACCATAACTATTGACAAAGAGCCCTGGGATCGCAGCAGCGCCAACACCAGCAACAACAACAATAACAACAACAACAACAACAACAACAACAAGGCAAAACAACCTGCTGGTGTACCCGGAGCCGGTCCACCAGTTCGCTGTTTTGCTCCATGTAGCGAAACAACCCACTGGTGTACCAGGACCCCCCCCCCCCCCCCCCCCCGCAACGCAACGCAACGCAACGCAACACGGCTGTATGAGCAGCCTCTGTTGCGTTGTGTTCCGTTGCGCGGGCAGGTGGGGGGTGTGTGACCCTACGGGAGCTCCCACTGTATGGGATCCCCTACGGATCCTATACGGACTGTATAGGATCCCATACGGATCCTATACGGACTGTATGGGATCCCATACGGATCCTATACGGACTGGATATGGGATCCCATACGGATCCTATACGGACTGTATGGGATCCCATACGGATCCTATACGGACTGTATGGGATCCCATACGGATCCTATACGGACTGTATGGGATCCCATACGGATCCTATACGGACTGTATGGGATCCCATACGGATCCTATACGGACTGTATGGGATCCCATACGGATCCTATACGGACTGTATGGGATCCCATACGGATCCTATACGGACTGTATGGGATCCCCTACGGATCCTATATAGACTGTATGGGATCCCCTACGGATCCTATACGGACTGTATGGGATCCCCTACGGATCCTATACGGACTGTATGGGATCCCTTACGGATCCTAGACGGACTGTATGGGATCCCCTAGACTGTATAGGATCCCATACGGCGTCTATACGGACTGTATGGGATCCCATACGGATCCTATACGGACTGTATGGGGTCCTATCCGGATGGGATCCCATACGGATCCTATACGGACTGTATGGGATCCCTTACGGATCCTAGACGGACTGTATGGGATCCCCTACGGATCCTATACGGACTGTATGGGATCCCCTACGGATCCTATACGGACTGTATGGGATCCCATACAGATCCTATACGGACTGTATGCGATCCCTTACGGATCCTAGACGGATTGTTCTCGCTTGGGTTCCCGATGGGGCGCTCTGGAGGGTCTGGGGGGAGGCGCCGTGAGAGGCGGGGCCCGAGGCCTCTAGAGGCTCGTCCTCCTCCTCCTCCTCCTCCTCCTCTACATCCTCCTCGTCCTCCTCCCCTTCCCCCTTCCCCCCATCCCCCTCCTCCTCCTCCTCCCCCTCCTCCTCCTCCTCCTCCTCCTCCTCCTCCTCCTCCTCCTCGTCCTCCTCCCCCTCCGACGACAACGACGAACAATGCACACGCCCAAGCGATAACGAGGACCGCTGTCCCAGGTCCCCAGGGTCCGAGCCACGCCTGGGAGCCGGCTAACCACGAAAATAACCTCGAATGTTGATATCGCAAGAAGCGGTACGCGCAGGAGCAGAAAGAAGAAGAGATGGACCCCTGTAGGGGTCCCATGGGAATCCTATGGAATCCTATGCGTGTCCGATGGGAATCCTATGGAAACCTGTCGGGGTCCTATGGGAGTCCGATGAAACCCTGTAGGGGTCCTAAGGGAGTCCTATGAAACCCTGTAGGCGTCCGATGGGAGTCCTATGGAACCCTGTAGGGGTCCCATGGGAGTTTTAAGGAACCCTGTCTGGGTCGTATGGGAGTCCTATGAAACCCTGTAGGGGTCCTATGGGCCTCCCATGGAACCCTGTAGGGGTCCTATAGGAGTCCGATGGAACCCTGTACGGGTCCTATGGGCACCCGATGGATCCCTGTAGGGGTCCTATGGGAGTCCGATGGAACCCTGTACGGGTCCTATGAGAATCCGATGGAACCCTGTAGGGGTCGTATGGGAGTCCGATAACCCTGTACGGGGTCCCATGGAACCCTGTCCGGGTCCTATGGGAACCCGATGGAACCCTGTCCGGGTCCTATGGGAACCCGATGGATCCCTGTAGGGGTCCTATGGGAGTCCTATGAAGCCCTGTAGGGGTCCTATGGGAGTCCTATGGAACCCTGTCGGGGTTCCATGGGAGTTTTCAGGAACCCTGTCTGGGTCGTATGGGAGTCCTATGAAACCCTGTAGGGGTCCTATGGGAGTCCCATGGAACCCTGTAGGGGTCCTATAGGAGTCCAATGGAACCCTACACGGGTCCTATGGGAATCCGATGGAACCCTGTAGGGGTCCTATGGGGGTCCGATCCAACCCTGTGCGGCTCCTACAAAAGTCCAATGGAACCCTGTACGGGTCCTATAGGAATCCTATGGAACCGTGTAGGGGTCCTATAGGAATCCTATGGAACCCTGTAGGGGTCCTGTGGGAGCCCTATAGAACCCTGTACGGGTCCCTGTACGCCCCGCGGGGGGGCGCGCGGGGAGAGCGTTGCGTTGCGTTGCGCTGCGTTGCGCGGGGGGGGGGGGGGGGGAGGGGGCCGGTCCGCCAGCTAGTGGTTTCGTCAACAAGAACAACAACAACAACAACAACAACAACAACAACAACAACAACAACAACAACAACACCAACAACAACAACAACAACATAACGACAACAACAACACCAACAACAACAACACCAACAACAACAACAACAACAACAACAACAACAACTACAATAAGTTTAAGACTGTTCGCCCTTATATGTTCGAATGTCCAATAAGGCGTATTTCCCAAACCCTCGATACCCGCCCTCTTCGTCTTCGATCGAACCCCTTTTTGGGGGTATGCCTTTCTTCCCTGCAGGAGGCGCCAGCAAGCGGCGGGGCGACCGCGGACCGTCGGCCTGGCCAGCGGCAGCGCTGATCGGCGGGGCGGCCGCGGACCGTCGACCCGACCCCAAGAGGGACGGACAGGGGACCGACCACGACGACGACGACGACGACGACGACGACGACGACGACGACGACGTCGAAGACGACGACGACGACGGCGACGACGAGCGAAAGCGAGAGCGAGAGAGAACGACAGCAGGGCCACGAAGGGCACGAAGTAGGCCACGAAGGGCGACAGCGGGGACACGAAGGGAATGCGTATGGGGCCACGAAGAGCGCGAACGAGCGGGGGCCACGAAGGGCACAGAATGCGGGGCCACACAAGGCAACTATGGGACCGCTGAGGGTAGCAACTGGGCCACGTAGGACCGTGAGGGGGACACATGGCGACAGCGGGGCCACGAAGGGCATGCACATGGGGCCACAACGGGCGCGACTCCTGGGTGCCTGGGTGTTGGGAGCGCGGCGCTTGGGCAAATTGCTAAAAAAAAAAAAAAAAAAAAAAAAAAAAAAAAAAAAAAAAAAAAAAAAAAAAAAAAAACGCAAGGCCATTCTTCGAAATCAGTAAGTTGCAAAGTTGCAAGCAAACATCCAGCGAGAGCGCGACTCCAGAGCGCCGGGAGAGCGATTCCTGAATAAATTGTAAGGAAGTCCCAAGCGAGAGCGCGATTCCTGAATAACATGCGAGTAAGTCTCGGGCGGGAGCGGGGGTCCTGGCTAAATTGTAAGGAAGTCTTAGGCGGGAGCCGTTGTTATTGTAACCCAGGGGCCAGGGGCCCAGTTTGAACAGGAAGACTTTCCCTGTCAAAAAACAGGGTGCGAGCGTCGAGGGGCACACTTTGATTGATACCAACAGTATGCACCGGTGGGAGGGGGATCAACAATAATTACTCTTCAAAAATGAGAATTCAACAACAACAACAACAACAACAACAACAACAACAACAACAACAACAACAACAACTGCAACAACTGCAACAACAGCAACAACAACAGCAGCAGCAGCAACAACAACACCGCCACCACCACCACCAACAACAACAACAACACAATCAACAACAACGGCAACCGCAACAACCGCAGCAACAACAACGACAATAACAGCTATAACAACAACAGCAACAGTCACAGCAACCGAACGACTACACCCACACAAACAAATATTCAAACCAACAATCAAGTAACAATACCAGCAACAGCAAGAACCACAATACTGATAATATTAACACGAACAACAAGAACAGCAAGAACCGCAGCAGCAACAACAACCAGCAACACCAGCAACACCAACCGCAGTATCAACTACAACACCACCAGCAACAACAAACACAACAACAACAACTACGATACCAACAACAATAACGACAACAACAATAATTACAAGATCAACACCGAGAACATCAACACCAACAACAACCACACCACCAACAATTACACTAACAACAACACGTAACAACAAACAACAATAATAACAACAACAAACACAACAAAAACATCAACATCAACAACGACAACACACACACAACAGCAACAACAACAACAACCACAACAATAATTTCAAGACTGTTCGCGCTTATCTGCTCGAGTGTCCAATAACACGTATTTCCCAAACCCTCGATACCCGCCCTCTTCGTCTTCGATCGAACTCCTTTTGGGGGGTATGCCTTTCTTCCCTGCAGGCGGCGCCAGCAAGCGGCGGGGCGACCGCGGACCGTCGGCCTGGCCAGCGGCAGCGCTGATCGGCGGGGCGGCCGCGGACCGTCGACCCCACCCCAAGAGGGACGGACAGGGGACCGACCACGACGACGACGACGACGTCGACGACAACGGCGCCGATGACGACGACGACGAGCGAAAGC